AATCGTAAACTAAAAAGACAAAAAATGCAAGTGTTTAATGTTAAGGAATGTTGTAACTTTACAATTTTGTAAAAAAATCCTGGTAAACCAAGAACTGCGAGATAGTGGTCATCAAAATCAAAATTTTTCCATGTAGATCAACGTTGAAATCAAGCATGTTACCAAAAATGTCATGTATAAATAGGTTCACGATGTTGTCATCCATTGTCAGAGCAAGCTTGTTAACGTTTGTTATTTGGCGTCATGTGTTGTCAGCTTAGTTTGGATTTTTTGTTTTAATTTTGTTAATTTCAGTTATTCAAGTTTACCAATTAATTTAATATTCTAATCTACTAAATGAGTAATAACTATTTAATAATAACATTGATTATTGATTAAATGACTATTCAATTAAGAAATCATTATTCAACTTTGAGATAAAACACAATAATATCATCTGGCGATAAATTAGAATCGTTGCTCACATCATCACACATATAGAAGGGGTGGAGGGCCTCAGTCATGATGCCGAATGTTCTTGTTCTGAGAAAGTTTGGGTTCTAACCTATAGTGGTGTAAAATATTATTAAGAAAAAGTGCTACCTGTGGGCCCTCCAGTGGCACAGCGGTATGTCTGCGGACTTACAACGCTAGAAACCGGGTTTCGATACCCGTGGTGGGCAGAGCACATATAGCCCTTGTGTAGCTTTGTGCATAATTAAAAACAAACAAACAGCAAGCTACCTGTGGCGAAATTGTTAATTAATGCCTCACTGGTTGTCTTTCACTTATATGTTACGCCTCATTTCTAAGACGTTAAGGCTGTAGAACAATCAGTTTTAAGTTCTAAAGCTTTAGGTTTTTGCACTAACTGACGGCAAATGCGTGTTTTTAACACTCACACGCAAAACACTCAAGGTACTTACAATGGAAAAACTGCTATGACTATACATACATATAAAACAAACTTTTGAGCAAACAAAGGACATTAGCAAAGGTATTTTACCCTTTCTGAAAATATATGCATTTGTACATTTTCATAAAATATGAAAAATAAAAATATAAAACTTAATATAAGAAAAACAATATTTCAGAAAGTAGTAGAATTACTTGACTGTCTTTCACGTTGTTAAAAAACAGCGTTTAACAAATGAAGAATTTACTTGGTGCTTGAGATGCTTGTAAAGGCTGTTAAAAATGAAAATTGAATTAAATATTATAAATTTCAATCTCTTCTTAATCTTCTTATGTCAAAGAAAAAACACTCAAATACAATTTAGCTTTATATCAACACCAAACACAATAACAAGGTACCTTCATAGGTGTCGTGTCTAAGTAAGTTATTTCATATTTTATTAGATATGCTCCACAAACCCTATAGTTATTATTTTGAGTTCATTAAAATTCTAAGTACTTTTGTTTTAAAAGTCTGTCTCCTCCCTCCCAATAGCGAGCATACACGCAATACAAAACTCGGTTATTTTAAATTGGTGTAGTTATTTTATATACTCGAAATCTGTTTCTAATTTAACTATTTCGTGCACTTATAATGTTTAAGAAGATAAATATCTCAAAAAGTGTCATATTTTGCCTTTTCTCCATAAAAAGTGTGATTAGAGCATATCTTATGTTCAGATTTTATATTGTTCTGGACAGTAGATGTAAACAATGTTTTTTGCTAGTTATTACACCAGATGAGTTCTTCACGTTTATATTGTTTCATATCTGGTCGTTTGTTAATTTCCGATATAAATGCTTTCCAAAGGAACTTCAGCCATACAAGTCCTTTCTTAATTAAAACTAGTTTATTCTTTCTCGATACAACTTTGTAATACACAAAATGTCCACAGTCACTTTAAACTTAACAACCTTTATAACACACGCTATAAATCACAGTGGTTCACACACTTTACTTACGGTGTCTA